TGATTTTCTATACTTTAATATGAAAATTATACTTTTCTTATGAAAATCATGAATAATTATTAAAGAAATATGATTATGGTACCTAGGGAACTACCCTAGGATCTATGCTTTTAACATAAAAAATCCATCGCCTAGGCGACTAGGCGACAAGGCACCCCCCAGTCGCCTAGCCTTGCCTTGGTGCCTTGAAAACTATGAGCACATCCCTTATTTATCTTCAACAATCCTTCTCCAAAGGCTGTATCTCTCCTTGATTAAATATCAATGTCAATGCAAAAGGAAAACAAAGAAAAAACAAAAGATAAAAGCTACTTAGACTATTATTATTAAGATCAGAACTACTAAAGATAATGAAATTAGTACTTAAGCTCAAAACAAGGTAGAGCTTCAACTCTTTCCCTCATTTATTTTTGATAAGTAAAGAAAAGCTTCCATTAAAACAAAAAAGAGGTTTACAATCTGATGAGTGACAAGTCATCACCCCGATGCAAAACAAACTAAGAAATCAAAGTTTTCCACATTACATATTTGAATACCCAAGACCTCCCCCAACTTATTCCCCAAATCCTTCTTGCCTAAATTCTGGGAGAACCAACACCCAATCTGCCACTGATCTGCTAACAGCGGCTACCATCCTATCCATACTGCAAGCTTTGTCTTCGAATATTCTTCTATTCCTCTCCTTCCATATGTTCCAACATATGACAAACGGAATGCAGCTCCATATCATCATCACCTTCTTGCTTCCACTCAGCCTAGGCCACGTAGAGAAAATTTCTGCAGCTAAAGCTGGGTGAAAGCCAGAAACCCCAAACATAACAGTAAGCGATCTCCACATGAAACCAGAAAACTTGCAGGAGATAAATAGATGACCGACATTTTACTCCTACTCCTCACATAGACAGCACCTATTAGCCATATGGAATCCTCTTGACTTCAGATGATCAACTGTCAATATACTACCCATTGCTACCATTCATGCCAAAACCTCAACTCTTGGTGGAACCGGGTTTCCCCCAAATACCTTTAATTTGATTCAAGTCTGTGTTGGACCTGCTAAGAGCCATGTAACATGATTTAACTGAGAATCTTCCATTTTTGCATTCTTTCCACCAGAGCTCATCCCTCTGCTGATCTTAAAGTTTCACACTTTGTAATTTTTCTAGTAAATAGATGCATACTTCTACTTCTCTATCCAATAGAGGCCTCCTAAACTTCGGACTCCAAATCAACTGGTCCCCCCTTCTTCAATAGCAGTCATTGATAGCAACCTCAGCCTCAGTCAGCCCATATAATATTGGACATAATTCATTCAGCTTGCCCACCCCACACCAATCATCCTCCCAAAATCTGATTTTGATCCATCCCCCACTGCAAAACTTGTTAGACTTCTAAATTCCCTGTTAAAGCTCATAATCCCCTTCCACACACTCACCCCGTATGAAGCCCTCACCTCCCTAGACTCCCAGCCGAACCTCACCACCCCATACTTCCCAGCCACTACCCTCCTCCATAATGAATTCTCCTCTCTCCCTAAACTAAATCTCCATAGCAATTTCCCCAACAAGGCCCTGTTAAAATTCTCACTCTTCTTAACCCCAGCCCTCCCCTCTCTTTTGGTTAACACACCTTGTACCAACTCACCAAGTGATATTTCTTTCCCCCCCCCCCCCTCCCAAAGGAAATCCCTCTGAATCTTCTCAATTCTTTCAGCCACCCTAGTTGGTATTTTCAGCAGAGATAGATAATAGGTTGGTAGACTTGACAAAACACTTCTAATTAAGGTCATTCTCCCTCCCAAGGATTAATAATTAGCTTTCCACCCATCCAACCTCCTTTCAATCCTCTCCAAGATTGGTTTTCATATTATACCTAAATTTGCAGCTCCTCCCATCGGCATTCCCAAGTAGACCTGGCAAAAAGTTGACCCAACCTGCAAACCCGACCCAACCCAATCTGAAAAAACAGGGTTAGGGTCTCATATTTAGCTACCCGAATGTGAAAATGACCCAACCTAACCTGAAAAAACTGGGTTGGGTTGGGTTGGGTCATGGGTTAACCCGATGACCCGATTGTCAAGTCTAATTGGGATTATTTATGCATTGTTAGAAGTTTCCACTCTTTAATTTTTTCTATTTAGTCTTTACTTTTTATTGTTTACTCTTTAAATTGTTAAATGTTCAAGTTTTTTATTTTATATTTGGAATTTTATGGTTAATTCTTTTAATTTTGACATTTTTCATGTAATTTTTCTTTATTTTTTTTAATTTCAATTATTTTTTGAGATGAACTGAATTGACCCATGGGCCAACCCTAACCCGAACATTTAGGGTTAGGGTCTAGCATTTGATAACCCAACCCGAAATCAACCCGAAGTACATTGACCCAAACCCGAACCTGACCCACCCAACCCAATTGCCAGGTCTATTCCCAAGTATGTGAAAGGGAGCTCAGCATTCACCAATTCTGCATTCAAGTGCATCAGCACACAACCTCCCTCCTCACCTCTCCAACTGCTAATATTATGCTTTTGGAGATGAAGATGAAAGGGACGATGTAGGTAGACATGAGGAAAGTTGGAAAATTGGAGGAGATGATGATGGTGTTGAAGGTGAGCTTGGTAGATTTGTGGGCGAATATATGGAAGTTGACAAGGTTGAAGCCTGGGCTAACCTCGAGTGGGGCAAAAAGAAACTGATGGGGGTTTGGAAGTTGAATGGAGGTTTGTTCCTTTTCATGTTTCACAATAGGGATCGAGCGGAAGAGGTGCTGGTAGAAGAGTCGAAGAGGTTGAGATAGTTCGATCTAAGATTGGGATGGTGGTTCCCAGTGGCAGGAGCGTTGAGTGATAGAAGAGAAAGAAGAAGGTCAGTCTGGCTTGCAATAGTGGGGGTTCCTTTGCATGCCTGGAGTATTGTAACGTTTGAGGAAATAAGAAAACATTGTGGGAGGCTTCTAAGATTTGATGATAAGAACAGAACTTGGGATAGGTTGGATAGGGCAAGACTGTTGGTCAAGGTAACTAGGTGAGGAATGTTTCATGTATCCTGATCAAAATGAAGTTAAAGTTCGTAGGAGAGCTTTACGAGCTGAGGATAATGGTAGGATGGAACGACACTAGGATGTGAATTTGGGAGTAGATGGAGAGAAGGGGGCGAGGAAGGAGGGGAGGATAAGAGGGAAAAGGGGCAAAGCGAGGACAGAGCTGAAGGTGGGAAGACGAACAGTCGGCCAAAGGTAGGAGGAGATGATGATGAGGTGGGGAGCGAGAAGGGCAAGGATGGAATTTCAAGTGGGGATGGGGATGTGGGTGCTAACGGGGGAGGACACGTGGAGAGGGGGCATAAGGAATGCCAATCGTCACATTCTGAAATAACAGGAGAGTATTCTCAAGAGACGGGTGAAAGGAGGGGATCTTAAAATTTAACTAGGGCCCACATTAAAAACATTGGGCCAGTCAGAGCCAAATCGGGCTATCAATCAGTCGGGTTGAGAATAAGGAAGAGAAAAGGTATAATTCGAAAAAGGCCAGCAAAA